ATTTTCTAGTGTTTGAGTAATGCGTGCTCTAGATTTTATATTTCTACTCTTCGTATTAGTTTTATCAGATAAAATACTAGGCTACGACAATTTTGGAACATCCTAGATAGCTCCAAGTTACAGGTTTATAAGAACCTCTTTGTCGCGATGACGAGTTGTTTTGCTATCAATTCTGATCTCCGGATTCGTTCCGGATGCAGCACGGATTATGGCCAACTATGATGCCACTCTGAACGTTAAGGTATGAAGGTTCTCAAAGAAATTTTTTATTAAGAGTTATAATCACTTCAATGACTTTGATAAAGCTTGTTTTCTTTAGAACCATCTAACACACTATGAAGGTTACCAAAACTGCCAAAAATTTGAAAGGTTTTATGATCTCATCTCTAGTACTTGGTACTTGACGCCCATGATTATGGGCAAGATTATGGGTACATCCTTATTTCCATTGTTTAATGCACTTGAATTCTTTCAGTTTCTGCAAAAAGTGTGAGGCAGCAAAGCAGGCGCGTTGTAAGTATAACAGGCTTGTAATTTCCAAAAGCTACTCAAGCTTGAGCTTCTTTCATCAATATTGGAATCAGCCAACGAAATCGACAAAAATGCTTAAGACTTTTGCAAAAGAATGGAATCCTACTTATCTTTAGCATAGATTACCCGTACATGTTGTCATGATCATTGTACGTCTAGTATTTTTTTCTGCATAAGGCTGCTGTGGCATGTATGCAGAAGGACCACTTTAACCTTTTCTATTTTTTAATGCTCACGCAATTTATGAAAATGCTTTTGGTATAAGTTCTTCTAAACCGTCACCACATTCAGACTGTACCAAAGGAGTGTGGTGGCTGATAGCCTTTGTCGGGCAAAGGATCATATGTCGAAAAGGAAGGTACGACGAGAACATCTTCAACGGACACGTGCACGTTATGGAAAGGTGTGTATTTGTTTTAGTTTTCTGTATGAGACCTTACTTTCGGCAGCAATTCTCGACTCTTAATTGCTAGAGTGGAAAAGGAGATGATCTGTAAACGCAAAAATCAAAGTCATTTAATGATAAAGCACGAAAACCTCAAGTTAACCGAAGTTATGTACAAAATAAAATAAAGTGAAAAATGAAGTCCACCATTGGCAGTGGATTAGACCTCCTTTTGTGTGAACTGCGTTTGTTCGTTGATTTCGACGCTGTCGGTGCGTGAAACAGTCTAAAAGATGAGAACCAAGTTTGAGCAACTTTTTTAGATGAAACATCCGTCCTTTGTAAATTTGTAGCTCTTACTTTGGTGGTGGAGTCATAGTCGGCAGGCGTTTCGAAGTAATCACCATCGGCATAGAACTCTTGGTCTCGCACTTGGTTAAACGCCGTCATTTTCAGAATGAGACCTGGAGCAGTAAGAAGTGCAGGATAGCAATCGATACCGTGTTTTTAAAACTAACCGGTTATCATCCCTGAAACTATTGATCCGACCAGGACTAAGCCTAGTCCAGCCAGTTGGTATAGTGCTTGCCCTCCAGCGCTGGTGCCGTTGGGGTTTGTCTCACTCTTCATTGCAGGGTAGATCTCATTTAAACTGCAAATGTCGATCAAATATTATGACCCGTGAAATTCTTGCTGCTTTCATTCTTTCATGATATCATAGTGCCATAATATAGGGCAGCTATTAGCTAAAGAGCCGGCTTAGCTCTGTTCTTATTAACATAACATGATAGAACTCGACAATTTGTTCCATTTCTATATAATCCGTCCCTCCTTCGCTTCCGCATGCCTGCTCCCTCCCCATTCCCCTTGTGTTTTTGTGATAAGACGCTCGCCTCAGTGTTAATTCCCAACCTAGCGCAGAGTTTGCAAAAAATCGGAGAGATACTCGAGAGTAATAATTATTT